GGCCAAAAGCAGTACATAACTTGTGCAATGTGCACCAATATGAAAAAAAAAACTTTAAAAATGTGACTTAAACTCTGATATTTATAAATATAAAATAACTTATATAAATATTAATAATTAATATTAACTATAATATATTATATATATATATATATTATATAATATATATATATATATATATATATATATATATATAATTATATATAATATATATATATATATAATATATATATAAATATATATATAAATTAGTACACCTCTGTACATACACGATATACCTCTCAATGTATGCACTCAGTGGGTCGTGTACCCCAAACCAAGTTTTTACTGTAGACTAGCAACAGGGTTCATTATCACAACTCAGTATTTACCACTGGAGGACAAGTTACCACTGCTGACCAAGGCCAAACGCCACCAATAACTGATTCTAATATTTCATCGCCACGATAATTACACAATACATCACCATGGTCGATGAGCGCAACTTACTCAAATTATAAATGTGCCACTAACATTATCAAGCTACATTTTTCAACACCATATTTTTAATCATGAAAGTCATTGATCCATTCTTAGATATCATTAAAAACATTGATCTATAGTGCACGCTTTGTGTAGCTGCGTTTTATTGCAATATTCCTCAAGGATACCCCCTCCCCTCCATATCACCTATTTCTTACGGACCAACGAAAAAAAAAAAAACAGTCAACGGCCACGAGGCATACAATACCCAATTTTGATAGGAAACTCGTGTGACCTTACGTGTTTTAAGTTTTCAGTTGTCATAATGTCAGAACACAAAAGAAAAATGACCAATACCCTTATAACAACAAAAAAACTTCAGTACTGCTTTCATAATGAAGATAACTACTAAACAATGTACTCGTTCATACTTCATATTTCAACTTTAAGAACCAGTATCTCTGAAAACTCCCTTTGTTATTAAGAGTGGAAGACAAGAGCAACAAACTGGATAAGCAAAACCAAGACCAAGGACGAAAAAACAATCCGGGTTTATGAAAAAAAAAAGGTAGAGTCAAAAGGTGCAAATAGGGGGAGGGGGAATGAATACCACCCTAACTAACACGCTATTCATAACTACGAAGATAACGACAAAGAGACATTGACGGATGACTTCCTTCTTTCCCTATCACTGCCGCCACACACACACACACACACACACACACACACAAAGCTCATGGTTCAGGGAGTGACCTAGTAGCGACCAGTGAAGAGGCGGGGCCAGGAGCTTGGACTCGACCCCTGCAACCTCAACTAGGTGAGTACAACTAGGTGAGTACACACACAACAGGCCTAGTGTCTAATCGACATGTGCCTAGGACAAAATGGTAACCAACACACACACACCCATCACTGCTACCAAAACACGCAGCCACAGTTACCAAACTACACTACCACAGCTGCCATACTTTTGATATATCTTCGATGTGTTTCGAGAATTTCTGCTCCCGTAGCCTTGGTGATTGAATGTCAACTAGGCTATTGCTGCTGGCGGCCCACAACCATCACAGCCTGCTTGATCTGGTACTCTGAGAAAAACTAATCACTGATAACAAAAGAGCGTCGAACTCGCACCTGATCAGGAATATAAAGAAACTAGAGAAGCTCTAAAGGTTTGTAACTAGACTTTCCAGAACCGAGGGAAAATGTATAATCGGCAGACTTAATTAAACTCGGTCCCAGACCAGGCCTCATGGAGGATCACGGCTTGATCAACAAGGCTGTTACTGCTGCCCACACGCAGTCCAACGTAAGAACCACAGCCCGGATGCTCAGGAACCAATTTGAAAATAAACTTCTCCAGTTCCCTCTTGAAGACTGCCAAATGTTTGTTGGCAATTCCCTTCATGCAGGGGATGGGGGAGAGCGGCGTTGAAGAGTCGGGAACTCACAACAGTTCTCTTAGTGTACTCGTCGCGCCCCTGCTTTTTAGTGGAGGCATTTTTGCATCATCTGCCAAGACTCTTGCTGTCAGAGTTACTTCAGTGTTCAGGTTAGCGACCAGTCCCTCCAGGATTTTCCAGGTGTAAATTAATATGTACCATTCTCGCCTACATTCCAAGGAATACGTTTGAAGGGATTTCGAGCATTTCCAAGTAGTTCAGGTTCTTAATCGAGTGTATACGAACAGTAAAAGTTCTCTGTACGTTTTCCAGCTCAGCAATCTCGCGTAACTTGAAAGGGACCGTCAGTATACAGCAGTAATCCCCCCTGGAGAGAACAAGTAATTTAAAGAGTATCATCATTGGCTCAATCTCTTCTTGAAAGTTCTAGTTATCCAGCCTATTATTTTCCTTGCGATACCAAAGGCAACACTTGTGATTTTCGAATGTGAAAACTGCCATCATTACTCCGAAGTCTCGTACATGAGAATTTTGCTCTAACGTACGATCTGAGAGTGTTCTGTATTCCGTTACATTATTTCCCCCATTCTTCTACAGCAGAGGAATTGAAACTTGTCCTTGTTTAATATTGTCTCAATGTGGCCCCACCATGGAGCTCGCACCTGGTCAGGCCCTGGAGGTTACCTGGAGGTTATTCCGGGGATCAACGCCCCCGTGGCCCGGTCCATGACCAGGCCTCTCGATGGATCAGGGCCTGATCAACTAGGCTGTTACTGCTGGCCGCACGCAGTCCAACGTACGAGCCACAGCCCGGCTGATCCGGCACTGACTTTAGGTATCTGTCCAGCTCTCTCTTGAAGGCAGCCAGGGGTTTATTGGCAATTCCCCTAATGCTTGATGGGAGGCTGTTGAACAGTTTTGGACCCCGAACACTTATGATGTTTTCTCTTAGTGTACCAATGGCGCCCCTACTTTTTATTGGGGGCATTTTGCATCGCCTGCCCAGTCTTTTACTTTCGTAGGGAGTGATTTCTGTGTGCAGATTTGGGACCATTCCTTCCAAGATTTTCCAAGTGTAGATTATGATATCTCTCTCCCTCCTGCGTTCCAACGAGTACAAGTCAAGTGCTTCCAAGCGTTCCCAGTAGTTAAGGTGCTTGACAGAACTTATACGTGCAGTAAAGGATCTCTGTACACACTCTAGATCTGCGATTTCACCTGCTTTGAATGGAGGTGTTAATGTACAGCAGTATTCCAGCCTAGAGAGAACAAGTGGTTTGAAGAGGATCATCATTGGCTTGGCATCTCTCGTTTTGAAAGTTCTCATTATCCATCCTATCATTTTCTTTGCACGTGCGATCGTGGCACTGTTGTGATCCTTGAAAGTGAGATCCTCAGACATTACTACTCCCAGGTCCCTTACATTATTTTTCCGCTCTATTGTATGGCCGGAGTCAGTAGTATACTCTGTTCTAGTTATTATCTCCTCCAGTTTTCCATAACGGAGTAGTTGGAATTTGTCCTCATTGAACATCATATTGTTTACCGTTGCCCACTGGAAAACTTTATTTATATCTTCTTGGAGGCCCATGAAGAAATTCTTAGCCTACTTGCAAACATTTGGACCTATTACTAGAAAGGAGGTTGAAGGAACTAAACTTAAGGAACTGATAAGGCTGACAGATTGTTTGAATTAACCCTTTATTATAATCATGGGGAGCGCTAAACCCGTAGGATTATACAGCGCCTGTAGGGTGGGGGGAAGAAAGGTATTCAGGCTCAATTCAGGAAACCGGAGCACAGATCCAATTCCCTAGATCAAGAGCCCCTCACCAGCGCCAAGGAGGGGAATTAACCCTCGAGATGATGCATATTTACACCAAACGGGAAACTGCCTTTGACGTATACAGTATATAGGAAAAACTTCTAGGGTCTTCAAAACTGTTCCAATCGACTTGGTTTTCTCTGATGTAGGCATAAGCCTACATCAGAGAAAACAGGTAGGCAACGTGTGTGGGAGCAGTATAAAAAAAAAAAATTGTACGCAGGGCATTGTGGGAACTAGTAAATTTATTAACATTTGTTAAGAGTTGCTGAATAATAAATATAATTGAAATATAGTATGAAAACAGACAGGTATAAAACAATTCATAAAAAATAAAACTGAAAAAAAAAATGGCATTTTATTTAAAACGTCAATTTCGTTCACACGGCTGACACTACTCACGTTGTCAACGTTATCACCAACGTTACCTTCAAATCTTCATATATCCGTAAGTAATAATCAGATTTCACTCATTCTTCGCTTTTTTTTATTTCTAAAATAAAGGAAAATATTTTTTTTTGTATAGATGATTTTTTCCAAATACGCGAGCACTTAGGACACGCGTATTTTAAACACTTCGGTAGTTTTTAAGGCTGAGAGGACCAGGATCAAGGCGACACAAGCGGAAGCTGTAGACTCAGATAAACCATTGTGAGGGACAGAACTCAAGACGAGGCTGGTATTCCAAGTTCCCTCCTTTATGAGAAAAAAAAAAAAAGAAAACGTATACAGTTCAACTGATAATCAAAGAGATATAAATTTAAAGGGAAAAAAAAGTGAAAGTATTATAATAATAAATAGAACAATTGTGAATTTAAATAACCTGACGGAATCAAAATTTAAGGAGAAAAATAAATTACAATGACCAATGCTAACAACGGGTGACTTGCTGGTATCTTGAATGTTCCGTATAATCTGTAGGATACAGATGAAGCTGTAGATGTTTTGGTCAGATTTGATTTCTTTTTAATACTTGACATGACAGCAGAGCTGACCAGGATAACCGTATCGTAGATATCATACAATGGGAAAGGAGCCCTGGATAATACAGATGTTAATACGATTTTCCTAGAGCCAGAATATCCTTATCGTAACTCTAGCATACGACTGGGTAGAAACTCTGGTCAAGAAACACACACAGCCCCTCGTGGTCTGCAAATTGGAGAGACCCAATTACAATCCTACGGAGTAGAAAAATATAGGTCACCAGAGGACACACAGGGTATAGCAGAGACACACGCCAGTAGCCAGATTACACCCAAGTCAATGCGGGGATCTTATTACAATGATCAATCCCGAGAACTACTTACTGGGAGGAGAGTCGGTAGCAGTGTGACACTACTGTCTTACCCTGGCTACTAGGTAAACACCAGTGGTTCTCTTCAGGGGTGGTAGAGGGTGCTGACTGTCAAAAACCCTGAGTAGCCTCACCGATAACTACTCGTTTACCCATAAAATTTGTACTAGCTACTCTTATTCCTCACGGCATGAAAGGAAGTATTTTAGGTTCAGGGTGGTTGAAAAGCGGAATGACTTGGGTGAGAAAGAGAGAGTGGTGGAGAAAACTCAATGCTCAACTTAAGGAGTAGATATGGTAAGGCCCAAGAAACCAGAAGTCAGTGATGGAAATCAAAGTGGTCCAGAAGGGACCAATAGATGTCTCCTCCAAGCAAAATTCATTGAGTACGTTCGCGCGTGCAAACGATCACACGAACACATGCACACACACACACAACGCAATCAGTGTTAAGGAAGTCGTCATTGGCAATAGTAAGGATATAGACTACAGTCATTTGTGGCATGAAAACAAGTTACACATAGTAAAAAGTGACTATTTCAGGAGAAGAGTCACTGTAGTTGACACACGACACTCGGTAGTCACAACTGCCCGACTAACGGAACACAGTGGCTATTACAACCACCAGAGAACGCTCTCTGCGTGTAATAATATATCACCACTAAACCACAAGCCGGCGGGCAGACGTGCAGAAGGCGTGCAGGCAAGAAAACAGGCGTGCAGGCTGAAATACAGGCAGATGCACAAAGTATACAGACAGGCAGTCGTGTATTTCCTCCACAAGCATAGCAGGAATGACAGACACCTGAACAGTGATGAACAATAACATACAAACATGAACAGTGAATACACAAGCACTACAACACATGAACAGTGAACAACACAAGCACTGCAACAAGGCACATGAACAGTGAACACAAGCACTGCAACAAGACACCTGAACAGTGAACCATACACACAAGCATTGCAACAAGACACATGAACAATGAATAACATACAAGCACTGCAACAAAACACACGAACAGTGAACAACACAAGCACTGAAACAAAACACACGAACAGTGAACACCACAAGCACTGCAACAAGACACATGAACAGTGAACAACACAAGCACTGCAGCAAATGCCTGCCCTCAAAACATTAATTAAGCAATTTTAATTACTTTGCAATTTAAATCATCTGCAAATGCATATTTAATAATAAATTAAAGTTAATAAATAATAATAATAATAATAACTGAACTGTGTTGGATAAGAAATCCCACAACTTGGTCCAGTGGTTAACTTTATATTGATGGCTGAAAACAATGGTTGGAGTGAAGAGTCTTCTGGTGTAGAGATCCGGAGAAGACAAGGACGGGGGTGAAGAAGACAAGGACGGGGGTGAAGAAGACAAGAACGGGGGTGAAGAAGACAAAGACGGGGGATGAAGAAGACAAAGACGGGGGATGAAGAAGACAAAGACGGGGGATGAAGAAGACAAAGACGGGGGATGAAGAAGACAAGGACGGGGGATGAAGAAGACAAAGACGGGGGTGAAGAAGACAAGGACGGGGGTGAAGAAGACAAGACGGGGTGAAGAAGACAATGACGGGGGTGAAGAAGACAAGGACGGGGGTGAAGAAGACAAGACGGGGGATGAAGAGGACAAGACGGGGGTGAAGAAGACAAGGACGGGGGTGAAGAAGACAAGGACGGGGGATGAAGACAAGGACGGGGGTGAAGAAGACAAGGAAGGGGGTGAAGAAGACAAAGACGGGGGTGAAGAAGACAAGGACGGGGGTGAAGAAGACAAGGACGGGGGTGAAGAAGACAAGGACGGGGGATGAAGAAGACAAGGACGGGGGATGAAGAAGACAAGGACGGGGGATGAAGAAGACAAGGACGGGGGTGAAGAAGACAAGGACGGGGGATGAAGAAAAGGACGGGGGTGAAGAAGACAAGGACGGGGGTGAAGAAGACAAGGACGGGGGTGAAGAAGACAAGGACGGGGTGAAGAAGACAAGGACGGGGTGAAGAAGACAAGGACGGGGTGAAGAAGACAAGGACGGGGGTGAAGAAGACACGGACGGGGGTGAAGAAGACAAGGACGGGGGTGAAGAAGACAAGGACGGGGGTGAAGAAAAGGACGGGGGTGAAGACAAGGACGGGGGTGAAGAAAAGGACGGGGGATGAAGAAGACAAGGACGGGGGATGAAGACAAGGACGGGGGTGAAGAAAAGGACGGGGTGAAGAAGAAAAGGACGGGGTGAAGAAGAAAAGAACGGGGTGAAGAAGAAAAGAACGGGGGTGAAGAAAAGGACGGGGTGAAGAAAAGGACGGGGTGAAGAAAAGGACGGAGTGAAGAAAAGGACGGGGTGAAGAAGAAAAGGACGGAGGTGAAAGAAAAGGACGGGGGATGAAGAAAAGAACGGGGTGAAGAAGAAAAGACGGGGGGTGAAGAAGAAAAGACAGGGGTGAAGAAAAGGACGGGGGTGAAGAAGAAAAGGCGGGGTGAAGAAAACGGGATGAAGAAGAAAAGACGGAGGTGAAGAAAAGAACGGGGATGAAGAAAAGAACGGGGTGAAGAAAAAGGACGGGGATGAAGAAAAGAACGGGGGTGAAGAAAAGACGGGGTGAAGAAAAGGACGGGGTGAAGAAAAGGACGGGGATGAAGAAAAGGCGGGGTGAAGAAAAAGGACGGGGAATGAAAAAAAGGACGGTGAAGAAAAGGACGGGGTGAAGAAAAGGACGGGATGAGAAGAAAAGGACGGGGGTGAAGAAAAGGACGGGGATGAAGAAAAGGACGGGGATGAAGAAAAGGACGGGGGAAGTAAGAAAAGGACGGTGAAGAAAAGGACGGGTGATGAAAAGGACGGGGGATGAAGAAAAGACGGGGGATGAAGAAAAGGACGGGGGATGAAGAAAAGAACGGGGGATGAAAAGAAGGACGGGTGAAGAAAAGGACGGGAGATGAAAAGGACGGGGATGAAGAAAAGACGGGGGATGAAGAAAAGGACGGGGGTGAAGAAAAGGACGGGGGAAAGAAAAGACGGGGGTGAAGAAAAGGACGGGGGATGAAAAGGACGGGGATGAAGAAAAGGACGGGGATGAAAACATGAAGAAAAGGACGGGGAAGAAAAGGACGGGGAGAAGAAAAGGACGGGGGATGAGAAAAGGACGGGGGTGAAGAAAAGGACGGAGATGAAAAGGACGGGGATGAAGAAAAAGACGGGGGTGAAGAAAAGGACGGGGATGAAAAAGGACGGGGATGAAGAAAAGGACGGGGGATGAAGAAAAGGACGGGGATGAAGAAAAGGACGGGGATAAGAAAAGACGGGGATGAAGAAAAGGACGGGGATGAGGAAAAGGAGGGGGGATGAGGAAAAGGACGGGGGATGAAGAAAAGGACGGGGGATGAAGAAAAGGACGAGGATGAAAAAGGACGAGGATGAAGAAAAGGACGAGGATGAAGAAAAGAACGGGGGATGAAGAAAAGGACGGGGGATGAAGAAAAGGACGGGGGATGAAGAAAAGGACGGGGGATGAAAAGGACGAGGGATGAAGAAAAGGACGGGGGATGAAGAAAAGGACGGGGGATGAAGAAAAGGACGGGGATGAAGAAAAGGACGGGAGGTGAAGAAAAGGACGGGAGGTGAAGAAAAGGACGGGAGGTGAAGAAAAGGACGGGAGGTGAAGAAAAGGATGGGGGTGAAGAAAAGGACGGGAGGTGAAGAAAACGATGGGGGGGGGGGTGTGAAAACTTTAATAATAGTTGGTTTCAAAGGCGAGCTTCCTACTGACAATATATCAAAGTAATAATTAACGTCTAAAACATATTCAAGTTACAAAAAAATGGTTTTACTTTATAGTAACTACCGCCCACAGGATGGGTATGGGGTGCATAATAAACATATTAAACTAACTAACTTTATAGTAAGTTGAACGACGAACCTTGACGTTACAGCGGCGACCAATGTCTGACTTTCTTCTGGGTTATCTTAGGTAATTTACACGTTAAATTATGTATGATAATTGTACTTGTGTATACCTGTACCTAAACAAATTTCCTTAATTACTCACACTGGTGTATAGTGCTTCTGAAAGGGGGTTACTATGTGAGGTAGTGATGTGGTGTGATAAATCTCTGCAACATGGATGTTCCATATGTGATCAATGTATGCCAATTTTGTGGCTCTAGACAACATGTTGGTGCTCCTCTCATGGTAACACTTGTGGTTGTAATCGCTGCAGTGTTATATTTTAAGAGTTAATGTTTAGCTCCTCAATTTTTGTGGCATACTCCAAGATATGAAGCACAATGATACAGGATAACATACTCGACAAACAGTAAGAGTGAGGCCTTCGAGTGCCAGCAGTAGACAGCTCAAAGCGAACACTAATTTCCATTGAGACAGAGGCTGGTGCAGCAGACAGCTGAGAGTAAACACCAATTGTCAGTGAGACAGAGGCTGGTGTAGCAGACAGCAAGACGAGTGTGACAAATGATTGTGGCCATCACAGACAAGATTACACACTTTCCTCTTCCATTGTATTCGCTCTCAGGCCCCTCGAACATTTTGTGCCATTTTCTTTGAAACACATGTCAGTTTCTGGACAGTTTTCCACAAACTTGGAGACATAACTAAGATCACACACATGTCCAGGAAACACGATCAGGTGTGTATTACCATTACGGCAAGCTAGACACAAGGTTCACGTGTGTACAAACGTGTGTGTTAAAGCAAGTGTGAGGATCACAAAAATACTGGAGCAAAACTTAACAAGTCTGGAGAAATTCCTTTTTCCAAGTCAAACAATAAGGGGAAAGATACTGATATACTGATGGGTGCTGGGTTCTTAGTCCGGCGAAGCAGCTCAAACCACGCTATGACGGTAAGGTGCTCCAGCACCGGGGAATAAACCTGATATAGAGATCATCGTGGCATCAACTAGGTCCCAGCCCGGGCCACTCTTGTTTATGGAATGATCAGTTAGGTTGTTGATACTTGCTACCAAGCCCTTTTTAATTTTCTGAGCCGCGAGAGGAAGAAAGGAATGACATACAGCTCCTAAAGAAAGATTATG